GAACTACTTTCCATTCCCTCAGTGGTGAGTGTCTTCACTCAAGAATTGTCTTAGACAAGCCTATGCTGAATTTTCTTTTTTTTTTTGTTTCTCATCCCTGGGCGATTTTCATTACAGCCTCAGCTTTTCCATTTAATCGCAGATAATGTGGAGATGATGTTGAATTTCCCAAACCTTATATTGCGGTTGAATTATTCACTTGTGAATTGAGGTCCATTGTTGGGCATCACCATGTCTGGAATGCTATAACGACTGAAATGTGCTTTCAGGCATTCCAGAATCTCACTGGTCAGAATAGTAGTCAACATCTTCTTACGAGAGTGAAGAGGTCTATTCCAAGCTTCATCTGTGATCTGTCTGGGGTGTCATGTGTCATAAGTGGCTTGAGTATGCTAAGCCTGGTATTTGTTACAAGCACTGCACTGGCTGGTTGGGTCCTTAATCTCATTGCTCATGCTTGGCCAGTGCAGCACTTCGCTCGCCTTCCTCGGACTATACTCGATTTCTGATGGTTTGCATGGATCTACATCCCCTGTCATCATCTTGCAGGGATGGAAATAATGAATCCTATTTCCATCGTACAAGACACTATTTGGGCTATCACTTTATCTCTGTATGCCCAGCAATCCCTTCTAACCAGAGTTGTGTCCTTTATGGTTTTAGGTCTACTTTCATCATTTCTTTCTGTAGCACTTGGAAAATTGCATCCTGCTGCATTGTTTTCAGCAAGATGCTAGTCTTCCGCATTCAATGTCTCTGCAGAATAAATGACTTCTAGAGAATGTTTTATTCTAGAGAATTTTTTCTTAATTGAGTCTGGAAGATTTCACACTCCTGGAATTCGCACCATTCTTTATAGGGAGGACTCGACTTGAAAGCATGTCGACTGCCTACATCTGTTTCCCTTGCCTGTATTTCATGTCCAGATATCTCTACAAACGAAGTAATGCATTTTACTTTGGATATTTTGGAGCAGGCAGAAGCAGTTTAGGAAAGATACTTTGACGTGGCTTCTTGTTAGGTTGTGTTGGTACTTTATCACTCCCAAACAGGTATTGATTACAGTATTCACAAGCAAAGACAATATCCAGGAACAGAAAACACAGAACTGTGAATGCTGGATATATGAAATAAAAATAGAAATAATTGGAGATACTTAGCAGGCTTGGCAGTATGTTTTTCCTCAACCAAGGATTCCCCACCCCACATGGTTCTCAGGGCCCTCGGGCAAGTCCAACCCATCTTCCACACTTCTGCCTCAGCCCTTGTCATCTGCTGCCCACAATACTGATAGGGTTCCCCTATCCTCATTTACCATCCTATCAGGATCCACATCCAAAGGATCATAAATTGCCATTTATGTCACCTCCAGTGGGATGTCACAACCAGACACGTTCACCTCCCTGTCCTTGTCAACCTTCACAGGGAACATTTCCTCTAGAACATGCTGGTCCACTCCTCCTGCGCTGTACCTCAAAAGGTGTAACACCTGCCCGTTTACTTCCTCCCACCTCACCATCCAGGACCGCAAACGCACCTTTCAGGTGAAGTAATGATTTTATCTGCACTTGACTCAATCTAGTCTGCTGTATTCACTTCTCACAATGTGTTCTCTTCTACATTGTGGAGCTGCAGTGCAAACTGGGCGACCATTTTGTGGAATGTCTACGTTCTGTCTGCAAAAGTGATCTTGAGCTTCCAGTTGCATAACACTTCAACACACCATCATGTTCTCTGGCCAACATCTCTGTCTCAGCCTTGCTCCAGTGAAGCTCAGCAAGCTGGAAGGAGAGCATCTTATTTTCTGCTTGGGGATCTTGCAGCCTTTAGGACTGTACATAGAATTCAATAAATTTAGGGCCTGAGCACTTTCTTCCATGTCCTTTCCCAACCCCCCTGCACCAGGCCTAGTCATTTACATGGGCTATTTTTACCCTAGCTAACCCATATTCACCCACGAAAAGTTTGAATTAGTAGGTCGTCTTCCTCCCAGGCTCACCATTATCCACTCCTTTGTCTGCTGTTTTCTCTCTCTGGCTCCATCTCCACCTATCATTTTACTCATCTTCATTACCTCTTCATTCAAATGGAACTAGATGGATCGTGTTGCATTAGAATTGCCCAAGTCTTTCTTACTGGAGTCACACTGCAGGGTGATTTCATCATTGACATCGTAGTAAAGGGAGTTCTCATTTTAATGTTGTACTGCTTAACATTATTTTCGTTTAACATTGCCTTGCCTTAGAGTGTAGCACCTGACCTCCAGCCTTGTTCCTTACCCTTACGCTCCAGGCCACTCTTTCTTTTTGTTTCCAGCTCTGCTCATAGGTGCTTGCTGGCCTCATTTCTAAAGAAACAGAGGCCTACGACTCCATCTACCTGCAGATGCCAGTCAGTGCAGATAATCCTGGGAGTCCACTGCAGCACTCAACTTTTGCCACTAGATGGAATGCATTCAATCTTACAGTATTATAGGGTATTACAATTTTACTTTATTTTAAAATGCCTTATTTTGTTTCATTTACCAACGTAGGAATTTGTGGCACAGGCATAATGTTTTAATTTTTTTAAAATGCAGAACAGACACTAACTCAGTTTTAGCATTGATTCTTATGAGAAAATCTGAGATTGTTGCTAAATTCTTGAGTAAATTTCTGCTCCCTTAACAGTTGGATTTTGCCCTGAGAGTACCCAGTACAATCCTATTCGTGCAAATGAATTTTATCAGCGTTGTCACTTGCTGATATCCCCTTGAGCTCTGTTGAGCAAATATCGTTCATTCAATGTAAGGTCCCTGCGGGTAAGAGCAGAAATAGGAGGAAGGCCAAGGAGAATTGTGTGGGAGTGGAAGCATTTGGAAAGACCTTGAGAGCACGCAGGCCCACAGGAAGTCTGTAAACAAACAATGTTAAACTGAGACTTACAGCATCAAAGTAGAGTGAATATATTTAATTGCTGACATTGTCAAAGTGAAAGTGTTGAGTGAAATGACTTTAGATGGGAACTTCTTTTGTCACCTTTCATTTCTGCAGTGGAAAATGCACAGGTGTTTTTATTCACCCAGTTGCAGATTTTTTTTATTATTTTATTATGTGCCATCATGTTTCAAGTGGTAAGTGTTTAATATCTGCCACAGACTGTGCACATGAAGGTGTTTATAGCAGAGGATAAGGTCGCATGACTGTAGCAAGCCAGCCAATACATTAATGGTACAATTACACTTTTCCAAACAGGGCAGTTGTATGGCCTGTTGGAATGCTTTTTGAAATAATTCCGCAGAGGTTGAAATCCCATCACCAAGTCACCCTTTATTTACACATGCATAGTACTTGACAGTGATACGGCTGCCTCTGAGTCAGCTTTGAGTGAACAGAGCCTCTGACACTCCTGTTTACGTCTTTTAGCCTAGGATCCCTGATTGGGGCTGTTAACCTGGTCCCATCGGGGGTCTTGTATTCTGAGGTCCCCCAAGCTGACCTTGTTACAATCACTACACTTGTATTGCACAGAAACATACAAAGATGTTATACAGTATCTGGGGAGGTCAGGAAAACGGCTCAACCGTGAGGTGACAGTGGCCGCCTCAGGATTTTAGTGCTGATGGGATGAAGTAGGGACAAAACTAGATTCCCACCAGTAGAGACACCCATTAATGGTCTAGTCTTGGCGTTTTGAGGTTGAATTAAGTTGCAGACCTGTTGATTCATTTGAGTGGAGAGAGAGAAATGGAATCAACACTTTTGGTGTAATGGTTTAACAGTAATAGAGATATAAGAAAAATACCTCTCGACATATGATGGTTCTGTTCATTTAGGCACAAGCTGCTAATATTTTTGAAGAAAGGTTTGCTCAAAATCATTGCATGTCTAATAATTCTAACAATATTTGATTTTTGGGACACGAGCCCTCAGGTTTTTTTGTTGATTCGTTACTGAAACCTTTCTGTTGATTGTTGAGTATTGCAGCTGTCTTAATGTACTAACGCAGCCAGTGTCTTTTTAATTTCATTTCTTGTTTTGTTTTCTTTTTCCTTTTTTTTTGAAAGATGGGTGACTAATTGTGTTCTCTGCTTTCCCAGCCTCAGCTTATCTCCTACCATGGTTACCCAAGTGAAGAGTATGATGTGGTGACTGAAGATGGCTATATCCTCAGTGTAAACAGAATTCCTCATGGATTGGCAGAAACTAATGAAGGTAACTGCAAGATGGTAATTTAGTGGTTTCAGTAAGAAGGATTTAAATACAATATGCTGAGGTTACACATTTTTCAGCTAACATGTTTTGAGCTCGAATTCAAAGCTTGTTCATTGGATTGTATATAATCTTTTGATGCTGAAAGTGTGACTTGTACTTTTTTGAGATAATGGTAAAAAGGAAAATTGCAGCGTATGAACAGCAAGTGATATAGCTATGTGAAAGAAATAGTAAACTGCTTATGGTGGTTCAAGGAAATAGTGTTCAACCGTCTCCCTTTGCTATATTCTAACCCTTACCCCTTTTAATCAAAGTGAATAAGCTAGCAAAAGGAAAAGTCTTGCATTAAACAGACAGAAGGCAAATAACCCAGGTTTTACTGATCTATAGATAAATTTAATGCTGACAGTAAGAAGTTGGCACAGTATGGAGTTGAGCCTGTGGGATGGTTTACTGGAGAGAATAATAAATGCTTATACTGCTTAAAAAAGAACTGGAGCCTCTAATTGCGGGATAAGGGGTGTTTGGAGAGGGATGTGGGGGAAGGGCACATGAGGATTGAGGATTTCTGAAGTTGCAAGTGAGACTGTAATGTAATCAAGAAGAAAACTAACTTATTAATACCTTGAATGAATTTGCTGAGCTGTATTTACCCAAAAATTGCTTGCTAGTGATAATTTTCCATTCCAAACTAATAGTTGGCTGATTTCTGATGGATGCTGCTTCAGTATCTGGATGCTGAGAATGGAAGTGTTAAATTTTAACGTGCATGTTAAGTAGAGGGGTTCATTCTTTAACGTGTTCATGAGGTGTTAGTGTTGCTTGCATTGCCAACATTAATGGCCCATCTCTAATTGCCCTTCAGGAAGTAGTATGGGAAATGGCATTGAAGATGACAAATTGGAGACATAACAAAAGAGGAAGTGAAAATAAAGGAAAAATATGAACTTCTTGGATAAAGATATTGAGTATTAATTAATTGATAAATTGTAGACTGAAAGAAGGAACCTGTTTGTTTTTCATTGTTTCATGGCTAATGGTGCACTCCCTATTAGAATGCTGAGCAATGTTGCAACAGATTTGCAGATAGCAAATCCGTTAAACTTAACCTGGGTGGTAATATTGGTTGAGGCATTAATGTTGGCTCGCGAAGCTGTTCCATTAATAATAGTGCTTTTGGAGCTCCGCCTACCTGCATAAACAGGGGAGGCATCACCTCCGACAGTGTAGCCCTGCCTCACTGCATTAGCAACATGGATCGTGTTCCATGTTTCTGAATTGAGCCTTGTACTCTCAGGCTTTTGATCCAGAGGTGTAAGTGTTTCCAGTGAGTGAGAATCGATTGGTTTTACGCTTCTGGTTCCTGCTTGTTCCCCTTGTCCCACTTGTCCCTGCTTCTCCTGCCCCTAATCCAGTTTATTGGCCTTGTTGTGCGTGTGCTATGAGCAATGGATTTCCTGGTAATTGGACAGTGAAGGAACTTCTTTCCAATATATATCGAGGTTTTCAGGTTCAACAGTGGCAAATTATCACGTTTTACTATCATTTTACAACAAGATTTTAACATTATCTGGAGCTTGGTGCATTGGTTTCATAGCACATCTTGAAATATGAGACATGTTATGAATCAGAGGCTTTGTCTTAAAAATTAATTGTTAAAATGTGATGTATAAAATATTGTGGGATTTAAATGTCAAAAAGAAATGCTGAACTACATGTTAAAATTCTTGTATGTATTATTTACTCAAACCAAACTGCAATTGAGGTAAAATATCACAAAGTAAATTACTAAAGAACATATTAAAAGTTTGTGTTTGTGCTAAGTGCTAAATTCCACCGTATTTGTCCCAATATAGCCAGCATGTCTCTAGCAATTACCTTTTCCTCTAATTCCCATCTGGCCATCAGACTATCCCCAGGTTCCATCCTTTTTGTTATTTACATGCATTCTTCTGTGAGAACACTCGGCAGTCTCCCCGTACATATTGACTCAAATACACCACATCTATTATGGAGGAACCAGATATTTTGCCCAAATTAATGTTGGGCAGACCGAAACCTCTTGCACTTTTAGAAATACTGTCTTTTTTTTTTAAAAAAAAAAGTCTTTAACAATGCATGTTCATTTCTTCTATCTCTTTCAGTACTGTCCAACATTTGTTTTTCTTTGTGGAGTACCTTGAGCCATCTGTATTTGCAGCACTTAAGTGGGTAAATGGATCCCATTCAGTTGTATTGATTTGCCTAGACACGATAGCCAGCTTTCAGATTAGAGAAATAGCCTACTGAGTCTTAAGCACTCAGGATTGCTTTGAGGGTATTACAAGCGGCACCATTCCTTTTTACTTTCCAGTAATCCCTGATGTAAAGTCTGCATGTGGGTCATTAAGTCAACCACAGGGTCATTCTCAGCTGTGAAACCAACCCCCTTACATGTTCAAGTAGTATGTGGAGAATAGTCACCTGAGTAAAGCATATAGGGATGGTAACACCTATAAAGATGATGCATTGCACGAACCATCTAGCTCAGGTGAACAGAAGAAACAGTTGTGGCCAAGAACAGAAACTGCTGTGTTTTAAACAGAAAATGAACAAAACATCTTTCTAGAACAGGGCCTGAAAACAGGAACTGTTTAAGTTGACAGCGTGCAACTAATTTAGTTGTAGTTCAAAAGCTTGTTCTCTTTCTTGAAGTGACTTAGTGGATGGCAGTTCACAGGAGAGTTATGAAATAAAATTTTACAATTAACCACATGGGATATTAGTGTAGAAAACCAGACATTTGCCGTAGAGAGCCAGAAATGTCTAAAGAGGGAATTGCAGTGGTAATGGACTTGGCAGTGAAAGACATAGCTGCTATTGGAGTGAATTAAAAACGGGCACCTGAAAAGGTTAGAATTGTAAGAGCACAGCTTTCTGAGGGCTGTAAAGGCCATGGAGGAAATTGGAAGAAACTTAATTTTATCAGAATGAATTAGAGGGGGAATTTGAACATTTTAAAAGACGTGCAGTGGAGTTAAGGCTGATGGAATTTGCAGGACATTGTCCAGAATTTTTGCATTTATCTTTGAGTCTATTATTTTTGGGTTGAAATCCTGTTTTATGCGATTGATTATGACAGTATAAAATGATACATTGTAGTGCATGTAACATATCCCAGTTCAGCAGAATCAAACTGTAAAAGACCAAAAATTCTATGTTCAAAGCTATTGCCTAATGAAAGCTGGTGCTTAGTTTAACATTGAGTCATTTTTATGCACAATACTCAGTTCCTTGCATATTGCAATTAGCTTCTAAAAAAAATTCTCATCACTGCTTCCTTTTCCTGGACCATAAAAGTTGTCTGCTTGAAATGTGAATGCAGAGGGCTGAAGTTTTGCTCTTGAGTTTGGGATGCAGAATCATAGAATCCCTACAGTGCAGAAGAAAGTTGGGAATTCTCCTGCTTCCACAAATCTGATCTGGAGAAGTTGGGATTTTCGCTGCAGGCTAGGGAGTTCCATGGGAGTCATATTGGACAGCTCCGGAATGGGTGCAGGATCTACCAAGTGTAGAGATGGGCTGAGCAGAAAACCAATTCTGCCGTGTATATTGTAGCCAGTTTTTAAAAGGGTAACGGAACAAAATATATGTTTATGAAATCAATTGTTCAACCCTCAGCTTATGTTAACGAACAGATTGAGATAGCAAGCAATTTTTCTTAAATCCAGACTTTTTTTTTTAAATTTTGAGGGCAGGAGTTTTAAGAGCTTCATAATTTGACAGGACTCTTTGGTCTAATGAATGTCATGGTTCCAAAACATTTGGGGTGGGATGACTAAATAAATCACTTGACACCCGGAGTCCTCTTCCAGCATCAGAGTTTATTGAAATTGCACGTCTGGAGGTCAGAAGCTTCTTCAATGAACAAAGGAAAGACATACATTTGTTTTCAGCCCGGCTTTAACTATTACAAACAAACCATATTACCACTTAATTACATACATACATACACATTCAAATTAATCATATGACTGTATGGTCAGTGATGGGCAGTCTTACAGACAACCCTTGGTCTTCAATGATCTCACCCTATCTCTATCTGTGGGACTTTCACAATGCATGCTGTATTTAACCACAGTCCAATACTGCTAACATCTGCATCTGTAATTCAAGCATCCCTTATTGTCTAGGGCTGTCTTGTCCAGAGGATTTTTTTTTATAGTGGAATGTCTTTTTAATACTTTTTTTTTTTAAGGGTTACTTGTCAAAATCTATAACTAATTCAAATTCTAACTATGATTATCTTGAAGTCTTAATTGGAGTAAATCTGTTTGTGATGGATCTCAAATTTTAAATTAACTAAGTATGGCATACACAAGGGTTTCCTTATCCAACTGTCTCTGTATAAACAGCATAAGCTGCATGTCCAACAGGACCCTGTATGTACTATCTTAATCTGTTACCTTGGATATATTCTGTCTACAGAGCTACTATTGTTATAACTTATGATTTACTTCAAAACAGACTACACCAAACGAGCTATTTCTAAGTAACTAAAAACTATTTTCAGCCATCTTATGCTGCTTTCAGTGTGGGCAGCCCTGACACATTTATGCACTTTTTGAATATTCATTACTATGCTTGACAATTCGAAAGAAAAGCTTAACTCTCCCAAAGTTGACCCAGGATTATATCCAAAGGTGTCCTTACCTTTAGAGAAGTGAGAACGCTGGCTGTCTAAGTAAAACCTACCAAGTTCAAATCACCTCCTGTATTGTCTATTCTGTGCGCAACCTGATCTGCCAAATTACAAGTGGAGGCAGCCTCTTCCGCGATTGTGCATGTGTGAAATGCTACCTGCCTCTATGGCTGCCCGAACAAAAGTGGTAGATGCCATGTTCAGGAACTGGACTTCCAATTTACAACTATGTTTGCTATTTTCACAATGGTAGAGTGTTGAAAATCATTGTGAAAATCCAGGCCAAAAATATGGACATCGTGCAGGTTGTAAGAATAAATTGCAGTTGTACATGTCGGTAGTACAGGTGGTTCATTAAAAATAGTGTGATACGGCCAATGTAATTAATGGAAGTTAGATTGGAAATGCAACACAGAATTACATGAGAAACATAAGAAATAGAAGCAGGAGTAGGCCACCTGGCCCCTCAAGCCTGCTCCACCATTCAATGAGATCATGGGTGTCATGGTGGATCATTGGTTAGCACTGTTGCCTCACAGCTCCAAGGACCAGGGTTTAATTCCACCGTCTGGCAACTGTCTGTGTGGCGTTTTTATGTTCTGTCTGTGTGGGTTTCCTCCGGGTACTCCGGTTTCCTCCTGCAGTACAAAGATGTGCAGGCTAGGTGGATTGGCCATGCTGAATTGCCACAGTGTCCAGGGATGTGTAAATTAGGTGGATTAGTCATGGGAAATGCAGGATTACAGGGATAGGGTGGGATGCTGTTTGGAAAGTCAGTGTGGACTTGATGGACCGAATGACCTGTTTCCACGCTGTAGGGATACTCGGATTCTATGGCTAATCTTTTCGTGGACTTGTTCCACTTACCCACCCACTTGCTATAATGCTTTAATTCCTTTATGTTCAAAAATCTATCTGTCTATGCCTTAAAAACATTCAACGAGGTAGTCAGGCAAAATCGTATGGAATTTAGGGGAATGCACCAATCTCTTAAATGGGCTTGATACACAATCCGTACAGGTGCTTTTATAGACTTGCATTACAGAAGAGGGTCAAAAGTAATGGGTCCACTTGTATTTGCCTTTCAACTGAACAGCATCTTTGTTTTGCTTGCATTCAAAGAAAATATTTTTGTTTGTTCCTTAAGGAGTCCGACCAGTTGTATTTCTGCAACATGGCTTGCTGGCTGCTGGAAGCAATTGGGTCACAAACCTGGCAAACAATAGCTTGGGCTTCATATTAGCAGATGCTGGTTTTGATGTATGGATTGGAAATAGTCGAGGAAATACATGGTCACGGAAGCATAAAACTATTCCAAGATATAAGGAGGCATTCTGGACTTTCAGGTATGTATTTTCTTATTTTACTATAAGAGTTTGCATTTTATGTATGCTTTTTAACAACAACTTAAAATTTCTACCAACGATAGTCATGTAGCTAGCTAAATACGACAAGCTTGTTGTGTGTATTTAATTCAGTCTGGATAATTCCTCATTTTGAAGAGGAAAATTGTGTGGGTGTTTTATTTGAACAACCCTGTCAGATGTTTAAAAGAGCTAACCAAATGAATTGACACATACTGCTATCTCCTCCAAACAACCCAGTTCTGTTTCGGTCTTGTCTTTTATAAAAAGAAGGTAGTTTTTGCATTATGTAATAATATTCTTGCAGCCAATTAGTGACCTTTTTCAGGGTGTAATCACTAGAGTAATGGTGACAAGCCTGGCAGTCAGTTTTCTGTGTAATATAATCAACCAATCGATCTGTGTTGAGGCACTAATATTTTTCAGGATACCGAAATAACACTCCATCTTGAATGGCTGATCTTACTGTAGCCTCAAATTCGCATTCCTGCCTACATCTAATAACCTTTCAAGAATGCTTCACAAGAATTGACAACTTCACATTCTGCTGCATCTTTGCCAACATATTTATTTTACTTGTATCTTATTGTGGTATGCTTTTGTGTCCACTTCATAATTTACTCATGTACCTGTCTTTGCATCATCAGCAAATTTGGCAACCATTCCTTCTGTCCTCTTGTCTAAATCATTTATGTAATTTGTGTAAACTTTGAGATCCCACCACTGAACTCTGTGGCACACCACTCATTACATTCTGCCAGTCTGGAAAAAAAATCCAATTTTTGCCAACTCTGCTTCCTATTAGCCAGTCTTCTATCCATGCCAGCATGTATATCTTTACCAATAAGCTTTTCATCATAATGCTTGTTTTTTTTTTAGTTCATGGGATGTGGGCACCATTGGCTAAGCCAGCACTTATTGCCCATTTCTTACATGGTGCATTACTATAGATAATATACACTAATATGGTAGCTGCTTTGAATAATATTTGCTTCCATGCATCTAATGTTGACACATTTTGATTTGAGAATGAATTGGCTACATTTAACGTATTGTGGTTTGGTAAATTTTTACTTGGATTAGATGTTCAGAAGAATGGATTACGTGTTTGTGTGTATATAATATGGTCTTTTAGCAGTGTTGGTATTTCACAAATAAACTTTATAATAAATATTTTCCAGCTTTGATGAAATGGCCACCAAAGATTTACCAGCAGTGATTGACTTCATCCTTCAAAAAACATCACAACGACAGTTATATTATGTTGGTCATTCCCAGGGAACAACAATTGGTATGTCAAACACCCACAATTAGCAATCTGTCATCAGATGGGGGCGGTGGTGGCCTAATGGTGTTTTTACTGGACTGTTAACCCAGACAATGTTCTGGGGATCCAGGTTTGAATCCCACCACAACTGATGGAATTTGAATTCAATAAATATCTGAATTAAGGGTTTAATAGTGACCGTGAATCTGTTGTCACTTGTTGGAAAATCCCATCTGGTTCACTAATGTCCTTCAGGGAAGGAAACTGCCATCCTTATCTGGTCTGGCCTGTATGTGACTTCAGGCCCACAGTAACGTGATTGACTGTTAACTGCCTTCTGGGCAATTAGGGATGGGCAATAAATGCTGCCTAGCCAGTTACGCCCTTATCCCATGAATGAATAAAGAGGGGGGACAAAATAGTAGAGACCATGAAATTGGTCTCATGAAAATTTGCTCCTTTGTCTCCACTCCATTATTATATACAAGGTTTTTCCAAAACTTTTAGCTCATTTTAGTTTCATGTACTTTGATATATGGTATTTATAAAATAAGAAAATGTCTTTATATGAAACTGTTGTTAATGGCAGCAAACTTGTAATTGTGGACTAACTTTGATCCCTCCTTGTCAATGTGTGCAAAACCTCTTCCATTATGACTAAATGAGGAGGAAAAAAATAATTAGGCCATCAAAATCAATGAGCCAGGGAGATATTAGTTCCTCAGAGCTTTTGAAGGACAAGCAAGGGGCCTGGAGCTAACCTAAGACCAAGTGTTTAAAGGAGATACATCATGCATGAGATTCAGGTGTTTGAATTGTTGAGTTGCAATAACTGAATTGTTTATCCTTGGATTTCAGATCTGGAACTGAAAGAATTCTACCTTAATTATATAAATCAGTTTGTCAGTTATGCTTTATAAATTGATGATGCAAAAGCATATGTTGCTCTCAACGCTCCTGATCAATTAGGAATTGTCTGACCTCATATCCCTGGCATGTTCTTTCGTCATTAGTAATTGTTAATGGAGGTTGACCCTGTGCCCAATCTTTCTTACATTCTGAACCACATTTTTCATTAAATCAGAACTTCGTTTCAATACCAGTGTTTCACTCAATGATGCAATTATGAGAATCAGTTCTGCAAATGTATGCTGCTGTCCTTAGTGCCTTATTTGCCAGTGCATAAATCAGGAAAGTACGAATTATACTTCCCATTATTAGTGAACTTTGGAGAATACCATGAAAGTGGAGTATATAATTCCATAAATTCAATTAATTGAGCTCTTAATATTTTGTCATAATATTCTTGTTTTATAGATTTTTTTTTATAGGACATAGATGTTCATTTGAAGCATACAAGTTTACTAGGCAGACTTTGATTCACGTTGATCATCTAGACAATTTTCAAGTTGCTTGTTTGAAGTTATTAACAAAAACCATAATCTGTGTAATTAATAGGCTTTTTGAAAAACTACGCAGCTTAAAATCCTAAAAAGGAGTCCCTATGCCACTTACTTTTACACTTAACATGAATTTTTAAAATTTGAATGAGAATTGTAACATTTTCAATCTTTTCTTAGTATTTGTTTTTCCTTATTCAGGTTTCATAGCCTTTTCTACAATGCCAGAGTTAGCAAAGAAGATTAAAGTCTTTTTTGGCTTGGCTCCTGTTGCAACAGTTAAATATTCTGTCAGTCCGCTTGCAAAACTTGGACAACTTCCAGAGTTTTTGATCAGAGTAAGTTATTTTTTATTTTATGAAAAGAGTGTGAAAGGTGTGGAGAAGGTGCAATTTGTTGTTGGGTTTAGGGTAGACTTTACAAGTTGTAAGACAGTGAGACTTTCTGTGCCTGGATACTATGAAGACAATAGGTATCACCTATCTGCAGTAGGAGTAGAGTTGAATAACACTGTGCCAAACTGCATTTCTTGCTTTTAAGCAAATTCGGTGCGTAGCATTTAATGTTTGAAAGTGCAAAATGTCCTTAAAATACAGTTCATTTAAAGTTATCTACAAGAAATGGCACCTACCTGTGTGTTTTTTCCAGAAAAGAATCTCAAAGCTGTTGATCCTGATTATTTTTGTAAGGCTATGAGAGTGGGTGGTTTACAGTTGGGAAATCTAAAAGTGCTGGTTTCCCTTTCGTAATGTCGAACTTAACAGCAGGGCTTGTTTCAGATCTTTTGAACAGCTTTCTACCTCCAGCCAGTCAGATTGACAGCTTGGCTGTGTGTTGAACAGGAAGGCTGCAGGGGAGTATAGGATAGAAAGAGAGAGATTGATTAAGTGGGGAGAGTTGGCTATCAAAGGGTAGTGGGTGGCTGTTTTTGGGAGCTGGGGAGAGGAGGACGAGTGTAGACATTGGTGCTACGATCTGCCTATCTTGAAGCCCCATTGTTTGGTTTGTAGAAGTTGTGTGTCAGCTGAGGTCTGATACTCTGTTCTACCTCGTGCACAAGCAGTGCTATCAAAACACGTGCCTCTTGGATCCAGCCCTTCATGCCACGCTTCAATTTGGGAAGCACAGCCTGCAGGTGTGAAATTATTAAAAGTTTTTGAAGCTAAAATGTTAGGCACTCAGCCTCCTTGAAATGTTTTATTGACCTGCTTTGAAAGGTTTAAAACTGTTCCCCACTCGATCCTGCCCCTTCTTACAGTACATCTCCCCAACCTGTCTTGCAGTCCTTTCCTTCCTCTGCTGTCTCTTCCCTCCCGCTGCCTCTGTTTCTTCCCTTCCCCCGCCTCCCCTCCGTCTCTACCCACCCTCCTGCCTCCGCTATGTCTGTGCTCCCCACCCACACCAATACCCCTTGGTCTCCGATTCCCCCCTCACTGCCTCCGCATTACAGTCCCTTTCCTCCCCCTCCCTCTCTCCCTCCCCACTTACAGATTGAATTCACTCTCCGCCCACAGCCTCACAGTGGGGCTTCCCAGCCACATTCTCTTGGTCAGCATCCTGGCTCTGCTTGCCCACTGCTGCCCCCTCCTCCAGTCACACGTGGCTTCCCCCCTCCATGTGAGTTTGCTGCTGATTGGTTTGTTATGAGCCTGTCAGCAGCAAGCTTGAGTGAATCCGTTTCTGATTGAAGGAGTAGTGCCTCACAGATTCTAATTATCATGGCTATGGGGACAACTTTTCTCTGGTTATGTTCGTGATTTAATTTTCCGGAGGATTCTCTGCCGCCACCTTTTTAGTGACTACCAATTGCTGCACAAAAGAAAAATTTCTCATCCCTAACTCAACCCATTACTGCCTGGCATCTCTTGCCCAAAACCTTAAGTTAGTACCCTCTCAACCAGCTAATTGGAACAATCTGAATCCATTATAATTTTCCATGTCTTTATCAAGCTCCCACAGCCTCGTTTGCTCTGAAAGAAAAACAGATGCTGCTTCTCCAACATCATCCTGTAGCTGATATCTTTTGAACCGTTGTGGTAAATTTGCCGTGCACACTCTCATGGACCCTCTCATCATTTCTAAAGTGTGGTGATCAGAATTGTATGCATTACTCTAGTTGGAGCTTATTAGAGTTTTATAAAGGTGAAGCATAATTTCTCTGCCTTGGCTTTCTCACAGAGATTGTGAAGACAATGATCCCATTTTCTTTGCTACTGATTCACTATGTTCTGCCGTCTTCAAAGATCTGTGCACATGAGCCTCCAGGATTGTTTTAGTAATGCTTTTAAGCAGACATACCTTACCAATATTTACTTAATGATTGCTTATAAATACAGTAACATTCACTTTCATCCATTAGTTATGGTAATATTAATTATTGTAATATATTCATACTCTGTATTTTTCAGGGTTTGTTCGGACATAAGGAGTTCCTTCCACAAACTAAGGAAATAACATGGCTTGCTACACATATATGTAACCGCATTTTAATTGAAGAACTTTGTGGCAATATATTCTTCATAATAAGTGGATTCAATGCAAAGAATCTCAATACGGTAAGAATCAAAATTTTGAATGGTAAGGAAGTTAGGGGGCAAAGGGAAAAAAAATGAACTGATGTGCATATCAAAATTTTCACTGGTTCATCTAGACTGGGTTGTTTGTGAATATAACCATTGTTGCTCTGTAATTTTTGTAGTTGCTGATTTGATGATCAGTTATTAACTACCCTGTGATGTAAACTGCTCAGTGATCAAAATTTGCAGGAGTGGTAGCAGGGCGGCTCAAAACTCACTTGATCACGGAACATTTGATCAGCAGATGGTGCTTCATTATCTGTTTTCTATTACACTCAAAGGCATTAATGTCCCACATTTAAGGTCTATATACAATTATGACTTTTAAAATTTCAGCAATTGAGTGTGAAATAATTCCATCAAATACCATTTCTTAATGTTTAAGGGAAGAATAGAACACGGGGAAAGACATGAGAGAAACAGTAATTGTCAGGGCATGGAGGAGCATTATTATCAAAAATGTATCTGTTAGTAATATTTATAAACTTGATTTAGGGGTTTGGTACTTATTGAAGATGTGATCTCCTCTACATTGGACTTGTGTACAAATGCAGCTTTGTGACCTTGATGTTTCTAGGGCTCATCACTCTAAAATTGTCTCTCATTTGCACTTTTGATTTGCTCTATTTTTTTCTTTGTCTATTCTGTAAAGCTTAATGCAAACCCCTATTACAGTGCCTTCCCGTCTGTGTGGTTTGCAGCTGTGGTCTGTGTGTGCATTTTAAAAGTTTTTACAGTATTTATCTCTTAAACAGTGCTGTTGATATTATATCATAGTAGGGTTGTAGAGCAAGATGCTACTGGCCTGTTAAATCCTTAGCTGCTGTCTGTGGGCAGTCCAGTCAGTTGCACGCTCTTACTCAATCCTTACAGCCCTGCAAGTTTACTTCCATCAACTGTCCGTGCAGTTTCTCTTTGAAAATCCTTTTGATTAATTGTCTCCACTTCCACTCCCTTTCCTAACGGCAAGTTGCAGATTGTTGCTGCTCTCATTCACTGTTTAAAGAGTTCTTTAAACTTTTGGATATTTTTGTTTTCTGCAGTAAATAAGCATAGAAAGTACCTATCTTTAAAACAATTTTTTAACCCTGTATTTTATGTATTGTTTCAGCATATCATGAGTGAAGTAAAACTGGTTTGATATATGCCGGATGTTTAATCCCAAACTGACACAAAATGTTTGCTCATCTATATTTCACTCCATTTCCGTTCTGGCAACTTGATCCCAAAAATATCATGCAAACTGTCCTAAATTTGAAAAGTGATAAATTAATTAAATAAATGAATGTGAGCCTACCATTTTTGGTTTTTGAACATGATCACTAAGACCGTCTATTCACACCTTTTGTAACCACAATGTCTGCTTCAGCTCATCAACTGCTGCAGTAACCAGCCATAGAATTGTTAGTTGAAAGCTCGATGGTACTGACACACACGTGTGGTTGGCGTGCCATGTTCTACTTTCTGTAAACTTGAAGTCATACAAAATTTTGGTGTGTTTTGATTCGCAGCAAATTGTATTCATCCATCACCCCGTGCTTGCTAACCTACATTAGTTCCTATTAATTCAATGACTCAGTTTAAAATTCTCATCCTTGATTTCAAACCCTTCCATCACCTCACCACACTTTACGTATGTTATCTCCTTCAGCATTGCAGCCCATTGAGATATTTGCATATATTTGATTCTGATTACTTGAATATCCCCAGCATTAATTGTCTCTCCGTTGGTGTCCTTGCCTTCAGATGTTTGAGGCTGTATGTCCTGAAGTTGCCTCCTTAAATCTCTGACACTTTTGTCTTTACCATACTTTTCTCCTTTAAGATGCTCATTAAATCTTCCACTTTGTTATCATATATCTTGTTTCATAATGCACCTTGGAATATTTCACACATTAAAGGTGATGTATAAACAAGTTATTTTTATAATTTTGAAATAGAAATATATTTTATGCATTTTGTAGTCATGCTAAACATTAAAGGATTAATTCTCAATATTTCAAATGTCTTTACAGAGCAGAATACCAGTCTATTCAGCACATTGTCCTGCTGGAACCTCCGTACAAAATATTATTCACTGGAGTCAGGTAGAACCTCTATTTAGTACACTTTCCATGAGAAGTACATTGAATTTTCAAACTGAAGATTTTCTGTAAAAGTTAGTGCGCGGTAATGGTGTACGACAGTTAAATATGGCAATTGTTTAAGGACACATGGTTTTATGTTTGTGCACTTTTAACTAGTTAAATTGAAATTAGTCTTTTGATTGTGCCTTTTTGTTTTTTCAGGCTGTGAAAGGGGGACGTTTTCAGGCTTTTGATTGGGGTTCTACTTCAAAAGATATGGCACATTATAATCAGGTATTGTATAGGGAACCATTGAAAAAATTGAGTGTTTAAATATGCTTCGTCTTGCACTTCCTTCAAACTAATTCTGGTCACTTGCATATTAGTTTTGCTTGGCATGTTCTGAATTGAAAGTCAATAAAGCTGAAGTCAAAATTGATAGATAAAACAGGTCTACCACAGTTTAATTTTGCTGTCTGTGGGGAAAATGATGAGAAATGAGAATCAACTATAGTGGAAGGATAATTAAAAACTTGCCAGTGTATGGAAAAAGGAATTCCCTTTTGCTTGATAGGTTTGTTTTGATTTCTGTTTTAATTTCTGTTTTACAAGGGCAGGATAAAATGTTCTGCATATTTTGGATTGGGGAGAGTAAATAATATCAGATTATTTATTTGCAGTAAGTACCTTGTGCTGAATCATTGGGAAGGGAGAGGGGGTAGGGTAACAGTGGTGTAAGAGTGGAAAGATACTGCTTGCTATAAAACCATCCATGGAATTTGAAGAGTAACAGCCATTCCACCTTTTGAGTATTTACTTTTCAGTTAGTTGGTAGTTTTCTGATAATCTGAAGATTATTTTCTGAGTCAAAACATTGTACAATTCTATAAATATTTAGGCCTCTGACAGACTTCACTACCTATTTGAATCAAATCTAATTTTCTCCTTCTAGCACATTAAATATGCTCCTCTTCTCAATCTGTTTACCCTGCAAAACTTCAATGTTCTTTTTCATATTCCATGGGATTGATATGATCTTAGTGAAGACCAGTAATTCTTTTGTTAGCTGAGTTCTGAGGCCACATTTGCTAGTGCAGAAATTGCCTGTAGAAAAGGTAAGGGTTTTTTTCTTGTAGAAACCTGGCCTTTTCATCAACTTTCCCCTTTGTTGAACTCCTTCCCACCAACCTGGTCAAGAAACAAAATTCCTTGTCACCTGTTCCATGGCCGAAATTCTTCCAACCACACACACGCTCTTCTCTCTTCTGTCACCAACCACGTCCAAATACGTTTTTACTCTGGGGTTACTCCAAATCTGGGGCATTAAAATGGGGTCACTGTCGATTTACCTAAAGGGTATTAACATATATCTGAATGCATTTGAATTTAATATCTATTGAGATTGATGACAGATTTGGATTCAGAAGTATTGACTCTGCCCGCTGTCTGTTTACTTCACTTCGCGCCTGAGAGTATTTTTTTGGATGGGTAGCCTGTTTTCAATGCAATATATTTTTGGGATAAATCCTATATGCTATCATCCTGAACTGTAGACTAAGAACTAACTGCAGTAACAAAGTATCTAAGCTAAATTAAGAAATTAATTTTCTTTTCATTTTCTTTGCTTCAGACAAAACCACCTCTCTACTACTTGAAATCAATGCCTGTTCCAACTGCTCTGTGGTCTGGAGGAAACGATTGGCTAGCTGATTCCCAAGATGTGGACAAGTTATTGAAACAACTGCCCAATATTATTTATTACAAGAAAATACCTGATTGGGAACATTTAGATTTTATCTGGGGTCTGGATGCTCCACAGCGCATGTACTATGATATCATTAGTCTTATGAGAAAGTATCAGTGAGTCAGAGAGAGTCTGCAATAATCTTATTTTTAAAAACTGGAGTTAATGGACACTTCTTAAGAATTGCTTTTCTTTTTATTCTTCCCTCAATTGCTACGTTATATGGATCATTGACGGTCTTAGATTCTTAATAAGAGGTAAAACACCACATTTTAGAATTAAAGTTTTAATATTTTGCTGCCCAGATTGTGCCTGAGCCCTGTCTTTAAGAAGTGTCTAATCTCATACCCTGAAACTCCTAATCTGCAGTCATATTGCTGTGGCCAAATAACAAACTGAATCCTGATTATTATTATTCTTAAACAGGATGAAAAATGTGGAGTGGGCCTGGTCAAAATAAAAATTAATGGAGGCTTTGGAACTGTTGCCCATCTCCTCCTGTTACTTATTGGACTTTTGAGATCAGGGAATTAATGTTTTACAAAATTTCTTTGACTTGATCATGGCCTAAAATTGCCAGGGATGCCATGCATGAAAGCATGCTAACTATCCTTGTGTGCATTTGGATAAAACCATATTACATATGATCTCTTCCAGTTTGATTGCTCTTCCCTATCGTGCTTTTTCTGAACCAGTGATTCTTTTATTGATGGTGTTTGTACAATCGCATTTGGAAGCAACACTGCAAGAATGTAAGTCAAGAAGGTGCAATTTCCTTGAAAAAGCCCCACTACTAGTGGCATTTATGGCACATACTTCCTTTTCAAATACAGAATTCAAAGAACATTTTCTGCTGTTTACACTTCCAGCTGTATTTTGCTACATGGACTAACTGTGAGAACTTGGTATTTATTTTGATCATAAAGTTACTCGTTAAACCTGATTGGGGAAAATTTTGATTTCTGAATATTGAGTTCCAAATCAGTTTACTATAAATTAAAAGCCACTTGCCGAGACAATCTGCACCTCTTCCTTCAAACTCACTTAACATAGGAACTGTTAGCAACTTCTTAACAAAAATCTTAGATTTCCAAACAAAAAAACTGAATTATGAGGAGTACATTGTCGCATCATTCAGTTAATACTGCTGACCAAATACTTGTCTTGCCTCAGGCTCTGAACAGCAGCCTTTAAGGTGAAAATATGAATTATACAGTATAGTGAGGTTCTGTGATTATGGAAACTATTAAATCATGTAAACCAGCATTCTCAAGAAATTAAATTGTTAGAAGTCATTTGATGATGCAGGGCAAATTTTTGAATGTATTTTTAATGGTACCATTTGAGTTCATATCTCAGGATCAATTTTTCACATGAGAACTACATTATTAATATTTCTTAGTAAATGTGGCAGTGATCTGCAACCAACTAGAATAATCAGATCAATGTTCTAATGAGAATTAATCGGATGTTGCAGAAAAGGTGATCTGAATAGTTGAGGTGCTAGTAATTCTATAAAAGCAATCGATTAATTTTAGTCAAACATGTTTGTGTACTGACTGGATGATGGCTGGTTGGCTTCCTGAAAAAGACATGCCAATCAGACTTTCACCTGATTTTGCATATTAAAAATCGACAACATGGTTTTTAATACATGTGTACTTGCAGTACTTGCACTGGCACTTGGTGGGAAAATTAAAATGGAACATAGTAACAGAACTAGATTATGTCAGTAAACCAGTTCATAATGGTTAACTTCACATAACATTAATAAAACATCAATCATGATCAAGGCATTGATATTGTAATTAAGATAAAGTGCTGCGTTTGAGTGATGCAGGTGTTTTTTTTTAAATCCGTGTCTACGTGTTTAAGCACAATAGAAGACTGCTGATTTAAACAACACAGACTTGTATGCACGTTATTTTGATAACCTTTAATACCATGTCACAGTTTTGTCTTGCTTTTCTAAATGGAACAACTTCAATAAAGTGAATAAAATTCAAATAACTAACTTGATTTTAGTCACTTCAATGTCCAATATTTAATTTTCAAAAATATAGGAATAAGGCTCAAGTATTGAACACAGTCCATGTTATTTGGGATGGGGTGTCTAATTTATACTGCAGCAGGTTGCAATAGGCATGACCAGTGAATTTTCAGCATTGATTGGAAGGCCTTAGCCTAGCAGCCTGTCAATAACTTCACATGGTTCTTTTAGGATCTGGTTCCTCTGCTCCGTTAGATAAGGACATGACCATTATGCTAGGTGGTGGCACAAACATGTCATGACAAAGATACTTGGAAATATTTTAATAGTGTGTGTTATAACAAAAACTCAACTGCTGCACAGGAAAACTGATCATCTATGTCTATTAACAGTTGGCAATGTCGTGGAGCATCAATATCCAATTTGTAAGCAAATTTAATTAGAAATTCAACACTTGTCTACAGCAGCTTCCCACAAAATGGGAATCTCGGTTGCAGAATGCTGTTCGCAAATGCAAGTAGTTGATGTGACCATTAAAATGTTAAACTTCCTGTTCAGGAATGTCTGTTGGTATTGAGGAAGGACCTGATGGACCTGCCAAACTTGGATCAACTTCAGTTCCTGGGTCTGAGTAGTGCTTGAATATGTGACCGTTATTCAATGCCAGAAAATAGAGCTTTCAAAAGGTTCACAGTTGATTGGGAAATACTTTAACCAACAAGATCTAGTCATTGCATAGCAAGCTCCAACAATTTTTAAACAAAATACCAGTTGACATTTCTAGCTCTTCTGGTCCACATTTTGCAATGACCATTATATCCTTCAAAGGGGCTGGTGAGGCTTCAGTTTAACATCACATTAAAAAGATAGCCACTCCCTTAGTACAATGAAGTCCCAGCCGAGATTATGCTCAAGTCTCATGTGGGACTGGAAAATCACTGAGCCAAGGATGACGCTGTGCAAAGTGAAATGCTGTTAAGTCAGACATCAATTCCATTCAAAGTATATTAAAGCATCATATTTATTTGCAACATACAAATAAACATACATTGATTCCAGAACTTTATGATTCCTTCTGTAGCATAGCAACAATCTGTGGAAACTTTAGGCGTGTGGCAATATCCAGGGGTGTTTCTCCATTCTTAAAAAAAAAAATACCATGTAAGTAATACTTTAGTATATGCTTCCAATTTTATTTTGAACTAGAGGAGCTGGTATCCCACATCTTTTATATGAATTAATAAGCACACATATAAAGGGAATGCAAGTTTTTCATGAGTGTCATTTGCCATTGTGAAAGAAATAAAGTTCAAAAGAAAGGAAGTGAAATCACAATTGGACTTGATGTGATGTGAAGGTACAACCTGTTTTCTGGCCTGAGCTGGCTTATTCACTAATCTTTTTAAAAGATGGTGCAATGTGTCCCTTTATCACCTGCTTAACAAGTGAAACCTAGAGAAAATAAGATTGGATTTTGAAGCAGCTATTGGAATAGTCTTTATTCCACCAGATGGCTAATGCTACATTTCAGTGCAAAATAAAACTTGGTTTTACAAGAATCATTTGACATATAGAAATGGCAGGAGCTTCACAACAAGCCAACATTACAACCACATTTTTCCCTTCAAACATAAACATATGGTACCAAATTTTGCATGGACTGCAGCAGTTCAAGAAGGCAGCCCATCACCACCTTCTCAAGGGCAACTAGAGACAGGCAACAAATGATGGCCAGCCAGTGATGCCCATGTCATGAGTTCTTAAAAAAAAAGTCAAAGGTTGATACACCCTCTTAGTAACTGGCACAACGAAATTTAACCTGATCTCTTACCAGACACAACAGCTTACAATGCAGAAAGGTTTCATGGAAACATTTCCAGTTCAAAGTTAATAATTTAAAAGGTTTGTGGTTATCATTTAGAGGCCAATCTGGTATTAAGTAAGTTTCAAAGCATCCATCTATTAGATGTGGAGCAGATGCTGGAAGCTAGAGTCAGTAAGTGTGGAGCTGGAAAAGTTGCTCCTCGGATGCAGTCTCGTCTTCTATTAAATGTCCCCCAAGAGATTGGACCATCACAGGAAGTTGTTGTACAGCAGCAGCTTCTCCGGATCCAAGGGTTACTTTTTTTCTTAAACAAAATCCAATTGAGTTGCAGCATTATATATTACAGCAAAATATCTTAAGGATCAATTTGTGTCATTTGAGGTATATCAAATTCTCGTGCTCTTTACAGATGTTTAAGCACTGAGGGAGATGTATTCAGCATTAACTGCTTGGGAAATAAAATTTTATTTGGTCCAAACTATTTAAAACTTTAGACAGTCACATCTTTATCCCTACAGAAATTGTATTTGCTTTACATTACCAAAATCTTGGTACAGAGAGATAAGGCTGCCATGAGGTCAGTTGTTTGGATTGAAACTGGCAGTGAGATTAGTATCAGGTTTAAAGGTACTTATTAAGGCATAGGTCAGGAGTAAGCCATTTATCTCGGCTTGTTCCTCCCTTCAAGTACACCATAGCTCCATTCCAAATGTTTGACCTTTGCTCAATCTCTAAACAACCTTTCTTAACAAAACTTCTTGATTTTAAAATGGACAGGTTTTTGTGCATTGAGATTCAGCAACAAAAGAAAATTGATCTGGGAGTAGAGTTCTGAACAAACATACACAACTATAGCTGTCCTGTATGAAATCAGTTTGAGCACACTTAAAATTGTTATTTCCAAATGTCTTTGCAAATTTATCTAACATTTCGATTATCTGTCAACTGAGCTCGAATATTCCCTCTTCACCTTAGCATCACTGATTCTATATGAAATTCCAATGTAATTAGTCTGACGTGTTGTAAAAGAGCCAGCTGAAGGTTGAAATATCTTTGTCTTTATGGTGGAAAGGCTGTAAAGCCTCTACAGGTTGCAGCATATAATCATGTTTGATAAAAATGTTTGATTCTTGCTACTATCACGAACTGCAATGGGTTACTGATATTTGAGGTTTACTAGTACCACCCTATTCTAGTGTGCCAGTTAAGGGAGATTTTATTGTATTAAAGCTAAAAATAAGTAGTAATTATAAAAGATTTTACAAAGGCCTAGTTGTTTAAAAATCCAACACGATAGTGTAAAAACGATCATCAAAAGCTTTAATATAGAATATAATCACCTATCATTGAGTAATTTTATAGATCCTGGTTTGGAAAAAGACTGTTGTATTGTCCACAGAAAACAACATCAATTTTTTTTCAGTAGCTATCAATATGAATACACAAGTGGGGTAGTCCTAAAGGGAGGTGTCTGGAAGCACCAGTAGCAACATTTCAGTCTGAGCAGAGGTTGGATGGTTGAGGAGGCATTTAGCACACTTCCCTCTATTGCTCAGACCTTTGGGTGTAGGAGTTGGGATGTCGTGTTGAGGCTGTACAGGATGTTGGTGATGCCTATTTTGGAGTAGTGCATGCAGTTCTGGTTGCCCTGTTATGGGAAGGATATTATTAAGCTGGAGAGGGTTCAGAAGAGATTTACTAGGATGTTGCTGGGAATGGAGGGTTTGAGTTATAAAAAAAGAGGCTGGGATTTTTTTTTCCACTGGCGCGTAGGAGGTTGAGGGTGACCTTACAGAGGTTTATAAAATAATGAGGGGTATAGAGAAGGTGAATGGCAGGTGTCCTTTTCTCTAGGGTGGGGGATTTCAGGACTAGGGGCACGTTTTTAAGATGA